GTTTCTATTTTAACTGATGCAATTAGAGACAAAGGTTTCCTCATGATCAAGAGACCCCCCATATATGACTCCACTAGTAAAACACCTTTGCATAATGCGAAATAGGCAAATGAGAATGGAAATTAGCCCTGAACTTCAGGAAAAGATCAATATATTAATTCGTGAGAACCAAATTCGAGCTGTCAAGGATGAAAACAGAAAATTTAAACTGACGAGGGTCAAAGGAATGGTGGAGAACGGTAAATAAAATTACGGACCGTAGTATAAATGTGGATAGGGTTAGCTCTGTAATTGATCCGGGACGGATGAATGAATGTTTTCAAAAAATTAACACGGATACCCATTATACAACTCATGTACCTCTTTTAATCCCGGAATGTACCCGTATCCCTACTGTCGACGAAAATAGTGTTAAAAACATTATGATAAATTTAAAACGAACTGGACCAAGCCCTGACGGGTTTCCATACTAGTTGTGGAAGGATTTTGCATCATACCTTGCTCCAGTACTCACTCGGATATTGAATTCCTCATTGGAACAGCATTGTGTCCCTACCCTGTGGAAATTAGCCAACTTGCCCCGATTCCAAAAGAACTGCCTTTGTCTAATTGTGATCAGTTAAGACCTATCAGTGTCTCATTGACAAATATAATAATGAGACTTTTCGAAAAACTTGTTTTTAAACAAGAAATAAGTATGCAGTCGAATTTTATTATTGGAAAGGATCAATTCGCATATAAGACAGGCTCAAACACTACAACTGCCCTCATTAAATGTCAACACCAGTGGCTTAAATGGTTGGACGATGAAGAAGTTGATTCTGTAAGAGTAATTTCCTTCGATTTTGGCAAAGCTTTTGGTACTGTTCCCCACGACATTGCCGGCTGTGCGAAAAGCTAAAGGAGACAAATCTTAATCCTTATGTTATCAACTGGATCTTAGACTTTTTAACAAATCGGAAGCAACGAGTCGTGGTAGATTGAATTGTGACGGATTTTCTAGATATCGACAGGGGAGTACCACAAGGAACTGTCATTGACCCTTTCTTATTCTGAGTCATGCTTAATGATATTAATCTCTAAGATCCTGAGAGTAATCTATTGATTAAGTTTGCGGACGACGTGACTGTTAGTCGGCTCCTGTGAAACCTACTGGAGACTCGATCAGCAGCTGCGAAGTAAAGAACATTAAAGGATGGACGAGTGATAATAGGAAGGCTCTTAATCAAGGCTTGAATTTTATCGCGGCAATTGCTGTAGAAGGATAACAAAATGCCGTGCATCATTGCGGCAACGACGGCAATTTTTTGCCGTATTGTGTAATTTTGTGAGACAAAAGAAATGACGTTTTCTGTGAAAAAATAATTGCAAATGGAAGGTTGCCTTAGTACCTAAAGTCTTAACATCTTATTATTTAAATAATAGCCAGCTTATAGGTATATACGATATAAAAAACATGTTGTAAACGATTTTTTTCAATGGCTGACATTGTTATGTTGTTAACATGCTATTTGATGTTCTTGACCTTGCAAATTAAAGTAATTGGTTCAAGATTGTCTATTGATCAAATCATGCGTAAATTACTATTTTAGTCTCAGTTTTCTTCGAATAAAACACACTAAAGAAATACGTAAACATGTTTCTATATAGCTTGTCAACAATCCAAAGTAACAATAAAATAAAATTTTTATTAATTTGGAAAAATGCCGTTGAAACTGCCAAAATTAAGAACAGCTGTTACGTTCTACGGCAATTTTTAACCCCATTGCCGTCGATTGATTTCAGGGAAATTCTAGGCCTGCTCTTAATATGTCTAAAATGTGGGAAATGGTTGTTCGTGGCAGAACATGACGAAGCCATTACCGCTCCAATTGGATGGTATTGAGCGCAAAAACTGGTTGAAACTTCTCGGAATGGCTTTTCAGGACGACCCTTGTTGTTGGGATTTACATGCAAGTCGACACCCTTCTATCGAAGGCTTCTAGCCGTATGTATATCCTTAGAGTTTGGTCCTATCTATATGGTTATACAAAGGAAAACCTAAACCTATTGTTTGAAACCCTAATTCTATCGTTATTCCACTACGGAATTGAAGTTTGGGGATCTGCACTACAGAATAAATATCTACAACGTATTGATAAATTCCTCCGACGAGCTCATCGATTTGGATATACCTTGAAAGAGTATAAAATATCGCAACTGGTTGAGGAGAAAGACAAATCATTATTTGCAAAGATTGTGAAAGATCCGGATCAATGTCAGTGGCGGCGCCAGGGGGGGGGGCAAGGTGGGGGGGCAATTATTTTTTGCCCCCCCTCAAGTCACTAAGAGCGACTAAAGGCTACACAAGCGTTTTGTCGTTATCAGAAAATGTATGGCTTATAAGTTGTCATTAGTCATTAGTGAATGCGCGTATACATGAAACTGGGTTTTTTTACAGTTTCAATATTAGTTTGTAAATCTCTGAATGGTAAAATACTCCAATAATACGTTTCAAAAAAGACAAAAAAAGCTTTAGTTTTGCAGAGTTAAATTCTCAAACGTGTAAGGCACTAATAAGATGAAAGTATCACGAAATTATTTGAATAAACTACATCGCATATATGGGGGGCAAACATCCTAAAGAGGGCGATATTCCTAGGATATTCGCATCACCCCCCTGGGAGGCGATATTCCTAGGAATATCGTCCCCCTTTTGAGTGGGGGGGGGCGAATCTCCTAGGGGGGAGACCTTTTTAAAACTTCTATCTTGCCCCCCCCAAATATGAGTTTGCCCCTCAAATGCCCCCCCCCCCAAATTCGGAGGCCTGGCGCCGCCACTGCGGATAATTTTTTTTTTTGCAACATTCTATCATACTACAAATGTAACAAATTACGATTGAGTAAAAACAAAATTATTGATAACTTACTCCCAGAAAGGAGATTCAGAACTTTAAGAGAAAAAAACCCACTCATTTATCCTACCTATGATCAAAACTGAACGTTTTAAACGCTCATTTTTAAATAGATGTTTATTTGACCATTTTAATTAGCTATTTTAACTTTATTAATCAGTATAAAAATAATTCAACTTTAATTCTATACTTTTAGATAGATAGATAGATAGATAGATAGATAGATAGTTTCATAAAACATTTACATTGCAGCCAAAGGCTGAATTACGTAAAGTTTACAAAATACGAATTATTATTTAATTACTATTAGAATTATTAAATTAAAATTATGCAAATATTTAAAATTTTACTAGGATGATAATAAAAAAGATACCACTAACGTTACGAAGACATCTTCGATGCCATCGCAAATATAAAAGAGTTTTTAGTACGATTAGTATTAAAATGAGGAAGGTCAAATTCATGACCATTTCTGAGAGCGTGGTGCCAGTTATGTTTCTGTGGGAGGAGGTCATAAAGTTTGTGGTTTGGATCCTTTGTAACATTATCAAACAAGTTTTTGCATAAGAAATTATGGTGTTCTTCTATTGGTTTGATGTTCAAAATTTCTCCTGTTGGAAAGTAGTCCATTCCTAGATTTATTATTGAAATAGTCCTTTTTTCCAGTCGAATCAATTCGTTCTTTAAGTATTGTGGAAGGGAGTGATAAAAGGCTGGTACTGCGTAATCCATGACAGATCTAACGCAAGACGTATAGAATAACACAAGATCTTTAACTGGTAACCTAGCTCTTTTTAATTGAACCAGATAATATAGTCTCTTACTGGCTTTTTTGACGACCTCTTTTATATGGGCATGCCAAGATAGATTGTTACTTATTGTTACTCCCAATAATTTAGCACTTTCGACTATTTCGACTTCTTTACCATTAAGTATGACTTGATCTAGAACAACTGGGTCCTTACTAAAAGAAATTCTCAATTCTTTACATTTGTCTGGATGTAGCTTTAATCCATTTTCTTCTGACCATTGCTTAATATGATCTGCTATGTTTTGGGCTGTACTAACATTGCCTTTGGGAAGAATTTCCGATGCTGTGGTATCATCCACGAACTTCCACAGGTATGAGGAATTAATATTCAGGTCTTGGATCATTAAAATAAATAACCATGGACCTAGCTTTGTACCTTTCGGTACACCAGACGGAACAAGGCCCCACTCAGAAAAACAGCTATCGGCCAATTTGACTCTGCGTTCTATGAGAAAGAAAATCTATTATCCAGTTAATTATACTTCTAGGTATGTTCAAATTACCCAGTTTCTTTACAAGAATTGTATGGTCGATAAAATCGAATGCCTTGCGATAATCAAGCAATATTGTCCTTATTGTTGCCCCATTCCCGTCAGTGTTTATGAACCAGTGATGCAGCATACTAATTAACGCCATAGTGGTTGACGAGTTTGGAATCGCTCCATATTGACTAGCATCGATTATGTCTAGAATTGCCGGTTTAACATAATCCTCAACAATGAATTCCTCTGCTACTTTAGAGATGTAGGGGGTCAGGGAAATAGGCCTGAGATCTTTTTCCAATATAGTCACTGGTTTTTTTTTTGGTAACGGCGAAACATTTGCTTTCTTGATAATTTTCATTGCTTCCTATTACGAACAGCAGTTGCCTACCATCACTGTAATTATCAACTCAATTGGAATTGTAAAGGCACACCTTTGTTGTGCCTCCTTCCTCACTCTAATAATAATAATAATAAAATAATAATAATAATATCGGGTAGGTGGAGCTCGTCAACCTTGGATGGTAGTTCACCTAGGAGAAGGAAACTCTGATTTTAAACCAGGGCATATGAGGCTCTTCAGCCTTGGCTGGCAACTCATATAGTGGTAGTTCCACGACGAAATCAACTCGTAACTCAAGATGTCAATCGTGTTGATGAGTGAATGGCCACTGCGTCATGTGGTCGCTAACGATGGCTGATAGGAAGTAGCGACACCTGTCAGTAATAGCTTTATCCTGAGAGTCGGGCAACACAGGATGGACTTACAACCCGTACACATTACATGAACCTCATATATATGGGTGAAAAATTATGAACACTACTAATGTAGAAGACAACGACGTAAATGAGACTGGAACGACTAGTGAAGGTCCCTCATCCGGCAGGTGTCCTGTGGATCAGCAGCACAGGCCCAGTCGTCATGCTACTGCTGAAGCTATACGATTGAAATGGACGAAAGAAATCAATGTTGTAATAATGGAGTGCTTTTATTTAAGTAAGCCGTTTAGCAAAAATGGAAAACCTCTACGAGGATACCGACAGCGAATGCATAGGATCTGGAATGAGAGAGGAGTGTTCCCGCAACAGAACAAATAATTTGTGATAAAGCTAGAGCAATAAGGAAGAACGGTTGGTTGACAGACATTGAACTGGAGAGTATAAAACAAAGAGTGTTAAGTGAGGAAATAAATCATGGAGAAAGTGACTTGGAAAGAGAAGAAGAAGTGGGATGTGATATGACCATGAATGGAGAAATGAGAAATGAAAATGAGGAGACAGCAAGTGGAAGGAATGTACAATATCGGGAAGATACACAGACAACACAGCAATCTGAGGAGAGAGCAGAAGAATGTATTAGAGTTGAAGGATATGGAGAGCTAAGTAAGGACGAGAAAGAGATTGTTGATAGGATAATCGAGATCATGAAAGGTGAAGAAGATTATAAAGTATTCACATTTAAGAGAGTGGATAGATGCAATATAAATGAAATTACAGCAAAAGTGAATAAGCTAGTAGCACGAATACAAACAGATAATATAACTGACACAAACAAATTATTGAAAGCAGTACGGAGTGTAGTGGCAGAGAAAATTGGACTGAAGGAAGTGATTGAACAAACTAAACAAAAGGAGCCATGGTGGACAAGAAGACTAGACATGGATATAAAACGGCTTAGGAAAGATATTAACATACTAGAAAGGAACAAAAGGGGAGAAATCAGAAAGGAAGGTAAATATAAAAGGCTTGAGAAAAAATATAAAATAAGAACAAAGGGGTTACCAACAGTGACTGAGGAGCTTAAGCAGAGGGTACTAGCGAAAATAGCGAAGGTAAAGAGGTATGAACAGAGGGTGAAACAACATAGACAGAATAGAATGTTTCAGAGTGACCAAAAAAGGTTTTATGTGGAAATAAACAATGGTCAGGAAAGTAAAGTTGATAAAGTGATACCAGATGCGTGTACTGGGATTGCCAGTAAACGTGGCCAAAAACAGGTTTCAACTCACTTTTAATTATCAAAATATATGGAAAATTACAAATAGTAGATGTAGGTAAAACACTGTTTTCCTTCGCACGCCATATTTGCTCTTATGCGCATGCTCTAACTAAACGTAAATAAACATCGTCCAAAAGGCGATCGCAGAGAGATTATTGTACAACCCAATACAATGCGGATGAAAGTATAAAGTTCTGGAGCGAAATATGGGACAATGGAATTGAACATAATAAGGATTCTGAATGGCTACATGAAGTGAAACAGGGAATCGGATATTTGAACCAAAACGATTTGAAGATAAATAAGGAAGATATTACAAAGCAGTGTAAGAAGATCCCCAATTGGAAAGCGCCAGGACTAGATGGAGCACAGGGTTATTGGATAAAGAAAATTACTTCTTGTCATCAAAGGATTGCAGAACAATTAGATGAGATTTTAAACGGTAAGGCTGAACTACCTCAATGGATCACATATGGTAGGACAGTGTTGTGCTTAAAAGACCCATCAAGGGGTAATGCAGTTGATAACTTTCGACCCATATCTTGCTTACCATTGATGTGGAAATTGATGACAGGTGTTATTGCCGAAAGTATGTACACTTTTCTGGAGATGAATGATGTACTACCGAATGAACAAAAAGGATGTAGAAGAAAAACAAGAGGAACAAAAGACCAATTGTTAATTGATAAGTTAGTTTTAAGAGATTGTAAAAGAAGACATACAAATTTATCGATGGCCTGGATAGACTATCGCAAGGCATATGATATGGTACCTATAATATAGTTAATAAGCTCATTGTTGTTTGTTGCCTTGGCGCGCAGGTGGACCGCGTGCGGGGTCTGAGACTAAGACTTTTTGGCGCCAATAGATATAGTTTTATTAGTTAGTTTTGCATGTGCATGTATACGAGAGGTTATCAATAAAAGTGTTCAACTACAACATTACATCTGGCCATGGCGACGAGGAAACACGATGGAAACCCGCAACGATCACACAAGCATACAAGAAGTGAACCAGCCGAAGTATACCCAAAACAACACACTGTCAAGAGTATAGACAACGTATCGCGATCAGACAAGACAAGTAATATATATCGCAGAATTTTAGTATTTATAACTCACCTCAAGGCATGGCTTCGCTCCCAGATTTTCCACCGTTTAATGTACACGAGGACTCTAATGCTGGCCCAAGATGGAAAAAGTGGCTCACGAGATTCGAACGGCTACTTTGCGGACTTAACATCACAGCTGATAAAAGAAAAACAGCGTTGCTCTTGCACTACGCTGGCCCTGATGTCGATGATATCTACGATACTCTGCCGACTAGCAGCAACGAAGACTACAAAACCGTAGTGGAAAAGCTCAACCAGTACTTCTCACCTCAACCTAATGTGGCTTTCGAAGTTTTTAACTTCCGCCAAGCGAAACAGAAACCCGACGAGTCTCTTGATTCTTATCATACTCGATTACGTCGATTACGACCCCGCTAAAGAGATCAAAGACCATATTATTTTGACCTGTACGTCCAACTCTCTACGCCGACGAGCCCTTCGTGACAATCTTGATCTACCGAACCTGATGAAGACCGGCAGAGCCATCGAACTAAGCGAAAAACAAGCCAGCCAAGTCGAGCAACAAGAATTCTCAAGCGTCAATTCAGTTCGTCACAGAAATATACAAACAGCCAAATACGGAAGCCACAGTCCCCCAAGATCGCGTTTTGAGAACCAACGATTACGTAATTTCAGAGGCGCTGAGCAATCTCGTGCCAGAGAAACCTGTGGAAACTGCGGTGGGACATACCCGCATATCAGAGTTTGGCCAGCAAGAGGCAAGGACTACAAATCTTGTGGGAAAATCGGACATTTTGGCCGGGTTTGCCGCACCAAACCCCCATCATCACAGCATGTAAAGAATGTCACCCATACCCGCCCCCAGTCTCCACCCGATTCCGACTCCGAACCAGACTATGCTTTCACAATCGCAAATCTCTCTGGAACACCCAGCCACATCACCAATGTGCCACGTAAACATTGCAGGGCACAGCGTATCCGTCATGATAGACTCTGGCGCTTCTGTCAATATCCTCGATGACGCCACGTTTAACAAAATTACGCGCAACAAAGGAATCAGTCTTGAACAAACAAACCACAAAATTTATTCCTATGGATCACTACGTCCACTACCACTAAATGGAGTTATCAAAACCAACATTTCCACTGATTCTAAGCACCTTTCTGCCAAATTCCATGTAGTTCACGGGAACTCTGGAAATCTGCTAAGCTACACCACCGCCTGCCAACTCAACTTGCTCCAAGTTACGATCAACAGCACTACCCATCACATACCATCAACTAATCAGTATCCCCCAGAGTTCGAATGCCTCTTCTCTGGCATTGGAAAGCTACTGCACATTGATCCTGATGTTTCCCCCAAACAACAACCCCACCGTCGAATCCCATTCCACGTTCGATCTGATGTCGAGAAAGAGCTCAAACGGCTTGAAGAGTTAGATATCATCGAAAAGGTTGATGGATCAACACCATGGATCAGTCCTATTGTGGTCGCCCCGAAAAAGTCGGGAGAAGTCCGAATATGTATTGATATGCGTGAGGCCAACCAGGCGGTCAAACGAGAAAAACATTTGATGCCCACAATCGATGACCTGGTAGCTGATTTAAATGGTGCAGCCGTGTTTACAACTTTGGATCTATCCTCTGGCTACCATCAACTTGAACTTGCAGAAGAAAGCCGGCACATCACCACTTTCAGCACACACCTCGGCCTTCGACGGTACAAACGACTTTTGTTCGGCATCAATGCCGCCTCTGAGATCTTCCAAAACACCATCGAAGAGCTGCTGACTGGCCTACCAGGCTGTAAGAACATATCCGATGATATAATCGTTTTTGGCAAAGATCAAGCCACTCATGATGCCAACCTCCGTCAAGTCCTTGAAAGGCTAAAGTCCCACAACCTTCGCTTAAACAAGGAGAAGTGCCACTTTTCGAAATCGGAAGTAATGTTCTATGGTCACATTTTCAGCGCGGAAGGACTACGCCCCGACCACAAGAAGGTTGAAGCTATCCAGAATGCCACACCTCCGCGCAGTTCAAGTGAAGTCAAATCTCTCCTCGGAATGGCCCAGTACCTGTCACGCTACATACCCGGTTATGCTGATATCACAGCTCCTTTGCGTGCCTTGACAAAAAACGACGCAACCTGGAAATGGGAAGAAATCGAGCAAGCAGCCCTTGACAAACTCAAGAAAGCTTTCACTGACAACCAAGTCATGTCATACTTCGATCCTCACCAAGCCACAGAAGTGATTGTTGATTAGCGAAATTCTTCCTGGCAACGATTTTAACATCCATCGGCGAGACAGGTCTGACAGAACTGGTGGCGGTGTTTTACTAGCTGTGCGTGAGAACATTTTGAGCACGAGACGACAGGACCTCGAAAGCAGCGCTGAAATGTTAGTATGCGAACTTCGTCCCGAATCGAAGAAGAAGATCGCAGTGATTGTTTTCTACAGACCACCAGACTCGGATTTAAAGTACATCAAGGAATTCAAAAAATCTCTTCAGCTCATTCAAAGACGGAGTAAGTTTGATCAAATTATAGTTTGCGGCGACTTCAACTTACCAAATATTGACTGGACCACTGGAGTATCGGCTAACAACAATACCATTTATCAACAC